AAGTGATTAAGTGAAAAGCATATAAGACAAATATAATTACAGGAAAGAATGCAAATGTCAGTTACCATGATAATAACTCTAAGAACCTGTTTTAGTGCTAGTGGGTGAAGTCGCAACTCTGATGAAGAGAAAAGGAAAAGAATATGAAGACTTCCTTAAACTTTCACAGTTAAAGGGATGAGAAAAGGTTGGCAGAAATTATGAAAATAGGATGCATCCAGAAATAATGGTTAAACTTGGAAGAAATGTAAAATATTTTTAGGAGCTGCAGCAATAGTACAGTAGGTAGGACACTTGCCTTTTATACAGCCAATCCTGGCTCAATTCCTGGCACCCCATTTGGTCCCCTGGGTATCATCAAGAGTGATCCCTGAGCACAAAGCTAGGAGTAAGCCCCGAATACCACCAAGTGTGGCCCAAAAAACAAAAATAAATAAACAAAATTTTAAGTGAGAGTAAATTTCCAAATAAATTTAGGAGCAAAAGGAGGGCTAGTAAAGGAGAATAATCTGAGCTATCTTCTTTATTTCCTTCTAAGTAGTCACACATTATTAATCAAGAAATAGACATTCTACAGAGCAAAGGTATTTTTTTCCCCTTTTTCTGATACTATCCTTTATGTTCACTGGATTTCAGTAGCTATATTTTACAAATATAAATCTTTCTAGTTCTGTTCAACAAACCAGATTTTACTTATTTCATAAATTAACAAATTGCCTTTTTTATTCTTGAGAGAAAGATTAGGATCAGTTTACAAAGGCCCTCCCATTGATCGTCGATTTGCTCAAGCGGGCCCAGTAACGTCTCCATTGGAGACTTTGTTGTTACTGTGTCTGGCATATCGAATACTCTCGGTAGCTTGCCGGGCTCTCCGAGAGGGGTGGAGGACTCGAACTCGGGTCGGCCATGTTGGCCGTGTGTAAGGCGAACACCCTACCCGCTGTGCTATTGCTCCAGTTTACAAATAATGGCCTGAAAACTATTGGTATTTAACTATGTAACATATCAAGTAAAACATACACAAAGGAACTACCTCAGCTTCTATGATGCCTACTGTTTGTGTGTGTCTATATATATAGATACATAGAAATATATAGATACAAACAAAGATACACATACAATAGGGAATCCAAAGTAGTTGAGGAATTTCTTTTGTGTATGCACATAGATATACACATATAAGTCATTATATAATGTTAATTATATATAACCATATAGCTATACAATCTTGAATAAGTATTCAGTATAAGAATATTACACAGCAGGTGCATCTTTTGTTGAAACAATGAATGTTATCAAAGTAGAGTGTTAACTAGACTTCATCTGCCTCACAGGCATTGGGAGGATTGGGAGGTGGGGTTTATTGGGGTTCTTGGTGATGAAAAATAAGTACTGGTGAAGGGAAATGTGTTTGATGATTGCATGGCCGAGACTTAAACCTGAAAGCTTTGTAACTTTTCCCACAGTGATTCTATTAAAAAAAAAAAAGAATATTACACAGCAATAGAATTCAATAGACAACTGCTCCAGGGAGAATGAATGAATCTAATAGGCTGAACGCTGATTCAAAGAGGATCTGTTTTACGGATTTCTCTAAACAAAATATGAAACCAAGTAAATCTAATCATCGTGTCCTAAGACAGTACAGTAGTCAACTCTGGAGGCTAGTAAAGAGTGGGACAACTTACAAAGGGGCTTTTGGGGTTATGGTAGCACTGTAGCACTGTCCTCCCATTGTTCACTGATTTGCTCGAGTGGGCCAGTAATGTCTCCATTGTGAGACTTTTTGTTACTGTGTTTGGCATATTGAATATGTCACGGGTAGCTTGCCAGGCTTTGCTGTGTGGGCGAGATACTCTCGGTAACTTGCTGGGCTCTCCGAGAGGGGCGGAGGAATCAAACCCGGCTCGGCCGTGTGCAAGGCAAATGCCCTGCCCCTATGCTATCACTCCAGCCCCAGGAAACACAGAAATACTAAAAAAGAGAAAAAAGATATCTGTGCTACAGTTCCACTGAACAGGCATTTCCGGTTCTATAAATTTCCTCGCATATGCTTAGCCTCCTGGAGGCCATAGGGTATGTGTGAGACCTGATTATAAGTAATCCTGCCCTGGTAATTATATCCGAGGTGACACTGTATCCTTGGATATTCTGTGACAGAACTCTGTAGCAGACCCTAAATACCCTATAATATTTAAATTCCATGCAGTCACCATCTCTGAGCTTACTCCTGGCTCTACAGGGATCACGCGTGGCTGGTTTGAATGCCAGGGATAAAACCTTGGTTGGCTTTGTGCAAGGCACATCTTTCCCTCTGTTATACCTCTCCAAACCCTACAGCCTTTTTTAAGTGAAGGATGAGACACGGAGATTCTCCCTGTAGTACTGGGGTGGGTTTACAGTACTGTTTGGACATTTGTTTTAGTCTCTGGTGCTTTGCATGAATGCTCTCCTTTGTAAAACACAGCTTTTATATACTGCATGGGGTGGGGGAGGGAGGGGTATATTTCACATACCTTAAAATACATTTTTGTTTTGTTTTGGGTTTGGGGTCACACCCTCCTATGCTCAAGGTTTATTTCTGGCTCCAGACGTAGGGATCACTCCTGGTGGTGCTGAGGGACAATATGTGATTCTGGGAATTGAATGGGGTTGACTGCATGCAAGGCAAGCTCCTGTGCTATCTTTTTGGTCCCAACCCTATCTTCAACACCAGATGCCCGTGGTATATCCTGTGGTATATAGTCGTTATGCCAAACTATATAAGTGAAGTCACAAAGTTGCATTCCCAGGAGCATAATATATTTACAGGATGATTTATCAGAACAAGTACTCAATTATAGTTACTTCTAAATTGTCTCAACCCCTAACAGCCAAACTGATTTTTGTTCCTGGATTTTTCTATTTTGGATATTTTATGTAACCGCAGTTATATAATAATGACCCTTATGCATCTGCCATCTTCACTAAGCATGTCTGCAAAGTTCATCCATGTTTTATTAGGTACCAGGATTTCCTTTTTATGACCAAATGAACAAAATGACATTCTGTTGTGTAAATATGCTATCATTCTTTTATCTTCATTATCAGTGTTTGGGTGGTTTCCTCTTTTGAATTATTATGAATAATTCTGTAAATGTCATTGTATCAGGGTTCTTTTTTGTGGTGTATGTGTAGATTCTGTCAGTTCTCTTTGGGAATGTAGATAGAAATGGAATTATTGGTTAATATGACAAAGTAACAAATCTTGTTTTTGTCTTTTTGGGTGACACCTGCTTGTGCTCAGGCTTACTCTGACTCTGCGCTCAGGGATCATTCCTGGTGTGGCTCTGGGGACTCTGTCATAGTGCTGGGGGTCGAACTTGGGTCAGCCATCTACAAGGCAAGTATATGGCAAATCTTGAGAAACTGCCAGATATTTTTCAAAGTGATCTGCACCAGCAGGATATGAGGGTTTTGATTTCTCCACATATTTACTAACACATTATCTTTTTTTATTTTAGTCATCCTAGTGCACCCTTCCCTCTTCCCTTGTTTATTTTTATTTTGTGGGGCTATGGTAAAATTATAATTTTTATTGGGCACAGGTTACATGGATTAGTTCAGTTTTTAATAAGTCTGAAGAAATCTCAGTTACAACTTATATTTTTCTGAAGATATGCACACTTCAATTACAAAGCTCCATTAAAAATTATACCAAGGTCCCTGTTAGCTTATGTGGCACATTTATGCAGATTTTTTAAAAAAATGATTCTTTCAGGGATGGGGGAGTTAGCTCTAGGGGTTTGAGTGCAATCACTGCATGTCAAAGACCTGGGTTTAATCCCCCATACCACATGGTTCTACTAGTAAGCACTGCCAGGAGCAATTCCCCAGAAACAGATTGGAAATAGCTCCTGATCATCATCGTGTGTGGCCCAAAAAATAACCAAACATACGAAAAAAAAATCTTCCTGGGCTGGAGCAATAGTACAGCAGGCAGGGATTTTGTCTTGCACAGGGTCAGCCGGGGGTTCGATTCCTCCACCCCTCTCGGAGAGCCGGGCAAGCTACTGAGAGTATCCCACCTGGACGGCAGAGCCTGGCAAGCTCCCCGTGGCATATTAGATATGCCAGAAACAGTAACAGCAAGTTTCACAATGGAGACGTTACTGGTGCCTGCTCAAGCAAATCGATGAACAACGGGAAGACAGTACTACAAGTCCTGGATGAAAAAAGTGGGAAAGGCATCCTGTGTACAGAGGCTGCCCTGCAAACTCAGTGTGAGGCAAATGGGACTGACTAGACCTCATCTCCATTGGTGTATCAAGAGAGACACAAACCCATGGATCTGGTTCTACAAACTGCAGACTGTTCACTGACTGCTCCTTCCCTCGATTTGTGAGAAGGGTCAGGTAGACATCATTACTATATAGATGAGGGAACCGGCATAGAACAGTCAAAGCACAGTGTGAAGATGTAATACCTAATAAGCAACAGAGCCAGGGTGGACATCTAGACCTGGTCTTTATCATGGCTGTCGATCCCTCTTGGGCAGGCTGCACAGGCAGAAGTTTTGTTCTGTGTTACTGCATATATTGGCATAGGTGACCTCAAAGTCTTCATGAAACAAACCAAGGAAGAGATAAGTACAGGGCAATGTTCTTAATAGTGAGTTTCAGTAAAAAGGTCTCTAGTTCTAAGCCCATTTGAAAAAATATGCTCCAAGCATGCAGTACTCAGAAATATCCTCTATATCCTTATGTGCATAGAGTAACATAAAGATGATAGAAATCTAAATAATTAGACTAGAAAACATATAAATAATTAATTTTTTAAAAAATTCTAGCCCTCCATAACTTAAAGTACTTAAACTGGTTAACTTGGGACATAAATCTCTCCATGTCTTAAAAAAAAAATAGCAAAGATAAAGAAACACACACATTTTTTTGTGTATATATATATATATATATATATATACATACCCATATATATGTATATATATATTTTTCCCAACTTACCTAAAAGGGTATGCTTATTCTGGGTGGAGTCAGGCTCCTCAGAACATCTGCAAGACCGGAGAACAATCACTCCTCCAAGCACACCATCTTCGCTGGCCAAGAAAGGGGAGCCTAGACAGAAATGAACTTTATGTTTTAGTAAATATTACTTTTGTGATCTTCAATGTTCACCTGGTTACTAGGAATGCAAATGACAGCATGAATGAGATCCTTGAAAGCTGTCCATCTTCTGACAATTGCCATTGTTCCCACCTTCCACAGGCGTGAGAGCGAAGGCAACCTTCTGCCTGAACAGGGGCCATTTGGCAAGGACAGTGCCAGAGGCTGCCAGGAAGCCTGGGGGGTGTGGGTGGGGAGGGTGCACATTACTGTATTCGGAATGGAATTGGAAACACTACCAGATTAAAGGACCAAAACACAAACGTAGGAAAAACTGCTCCACAACTCCCTTTGATCAGCTCTTGGGGATCACTTACCGGGTTCTCCCTGCTGTCAGGAGCAGCCCACCAAAAGCTTTGATTAACTACCTTAAATTCAACTTTAAACAATAAGCCACAAGCTTTATTACAAACATTTAAAAATGCTCCTGATGCTTTACGCAAATAAGGGTGAAACAATTTCTATCATGAGAGGCTGGTGGTTAGAAACATCTGAGGCTCTCTGAGCTCTCACACGCTGAACTACTGTGAGCATTTCAGAACCCCTTCATTTCTCTCCCCAAGGACATCTTCAAACATCTGGCAGAGCAAGCGAGCACGTGGAGAACAAATGCAAACTAACCAAGAACTATCAAAGAAAGCAGTAAAAATAAAAACCAACCAAATTGGATTGAGGGTAGGGTGGGGGGTTGGGGGTTGCTTCTGGTTAAATTTAGTAGATTAAATACATGTTTTTATCTCCAAAAACCCCAGTAAACTGGGGGGGGGGGGGGGGTGGCCAAATTGTAGTTTTAAAAAACAGGCAAAACAAACAAAGCAAAGAAGCAACACTGATGCTTTAAAATGGAAAGAATATGTACTAGGAGTTGCTTTCCCGGCAACTCTATGAGAACAGAGCAGAAATCTAAGGATCTGTGGGGTGAGGGTGGAGCCTGGTTGAAGTTTTCCAGTATTGTGGGGAGGAGCACCTAGAAGAAAACACTCCGTTTTGTCACAAAGCCCCGAAAGATCAGAAGTTGGAGGCTTCAAAGACTTCTCAAGGCCGGGGTGCAGATTGAGCCTGAAATAAAGATGGTTGAAAGCGTCTAAAACAATCTTCAACGAAGCCTGTGTTTTGAACTATGTGCCACTTTAGGATTTAAAAAGAAAAACACTTTAAAGAGCTATTTTTTATAAAGGAAGAGGAAGAGAATAAAATATATAATAGAAACCATGATAGTGGTCTGCAAACTCTGAAATCTTTGCTCTCTAGTCCTTTACAAAATAATAAATAAATAAATAAATAAATAAGCTTGTCAATCCCCATATCTAAAGGCCTAGATCCAAGCTAAGAAGTTAGGGAGTCTCCTAATCCTGGAAAACAGAAAATATATTTACTTAGAAAAGCTGAAAAATGAACCAGAGGGACTTTAGACTGAGGGGCTTCAGATTCAACCAAGGGAGAGGGAAGTTTCCACACTGATAATAGGAGCAGAAGAGGAAATATTCCCATCACCCTAGATTTTATTTAGTCCCCATGGATTACAAACTTATTCATGATTGGTTTTCAGGGATACAATGTTTCAACACCAATGCCTTCACCAGGACCCACTCCCTCCAACATACCCCCCTCCTAACTGTCCCCCATTTCCCTTCTACCCACCTGCCTGCCACTATGACGGGCATTTTTTAGATAACCTTTGGCACTGTGGCTTCCAGTACTGTTATTGATAGGGCTTTACAAATAATACTTTTGCTTTTCAGCATCCCATCCACATCCCGATTGACCATGAAGTAGATGGAAGTCTTTTAAGTTAAACAGTGAGAAAAACAAACAAACAAACAAACAAACAAACAAACAGAAACACATCCTTTCTCCAGAGACCCTCAGAATGCAAGAACACAGGAAGCTAAGAGACTGGAAAGTTTCTTCCCAGTCTTTCAACCCATTCAAGAATAAAGACCCTGGGGCTGGAGCAACAGTACAGCAAGTAGGGTGCTTGTTTTGCACATGACCAACCAGGGTTCTATGCTTGGCATCCCCAGTGGTCCTTCAGGCACTGCCAGGAGTGATCCTTGGGTGCAGTGCCAGTAGTAAACTCTGAGTACCACTGGATATGTCCCCAAACAAACAAACAAAGCCAATAGTACAAATCAGAAGAAGAAGACAGAGGAGGTAAAAGAGGATTTTCTAAAAAAGGAAAGGGGTAGGGGTTGGGGGTGGGCCTAAATTTACAGCACAGATATTAGATTTGAAAATCTTGAGACAGAATGTTCTAAAGACACTGGTACAGCTACACAATGGAATACTATGCAGCTGTTAGGAGAGATGAAGTCATGAAATTTGCTTACAAATGGGTAAACATGGAAAGTATCATGCTAAGAGAAATGAGTCAGAAAGAGAGGGACAGATATAGAAGGACTGCACTCATTTGTGGAGTATAAAATAACATAACATGAGGCTGACACCCAAGGACAGTAGATACAAGGGCCAGAAAGACTGCTCCATAGCTGGAAGCCTACCTCATGAGTGGAGGGGAGAAGACAGCTGAATAGAGAAGGGATCACTAAGAAAATGATGTCTGGAGGAATCAGTCAGGATGGGAGATGTGTGCTGAAAATAGATAATGGACCAAATATGATAACTTCTCAATATCTGCATTGCAAACCATATTGCCCAAAAGTAGAGAGAGACAGCACTGTAGCACTGTCCTCCCATTGTTCATTGATTTGCTTGAGCGGGCCTATGAGGAATATCGTCTGCCATGGAGGTGGAGGTGGAGGGGGCGGGGGTGGGAAAGAGGGGTTATACCAGTGATACTGGTGGTGGGGAATATGCACTGGTGGAGGGATGGGTGTTTCACCATTGTGTGATTGTAACCCGAACATGAAAGCTTGTAACTATTTCACAGTGATTCAATAAAATTAAAAAAAAAAGAAGGCATGTTCATGTTTTCAGTCTAAGAATGAAAAAAGGTGGGTACAGTCCCCTCCTCCCTGCCTAATGCTAAAAAAAAAAAAGAGACAAATATTGACTGCAGAAAATAATAAATTTGTACAGGAAAATTGAATCACTATCTAAATTATCATGCGCAAATTATCATGCGCATATTACACTATGCAACCCAGATGTCAATAGTCAAAGATATAAACTTGTAACACTGATGAACTGGGGGGAAGAATATAAAACAAGAGGAGAGGAATGCGTGGGTAGGTATAGGTTTGGGTTTAAAAGAATAACGAAATAAAATTCTAATCTCTCGAAGCAGAATATTTGAAAATGCCTAAATCTGATGTCTAAATACCATCTAAAGTTGAAAAACATGTTTAAATTTTGTACGAATTTTCTAACCTCAACTCCTGCCCCCCCCCCCCCCCTTTTACTCCCTTTCTCACCTTCTTCCTTCCCCACTTGATTTCAGCTGTCCTGGTGATGTGGGGAGTGACATGGCTGTGATCCAAATCACAGACTCAACTACACTGAAATATGAGATCTAAACTGTAACGACCAGACCCTGCAATGTGCCTGTCAAGGTGGCAGGTGGGGACGGATGGAACCTGGGGACACTGGAGAGGAAAGTTGGCGCTGGTGATGGGATTGACGTTGAAACATTACATGCTCAAAACTCAACTATCAATATCTTTGTCAATCACAGTTCTTTAATGAAATAAGCTTACATTTTAACAAAAAGTTGTAGAAAAGCACATTATATTAAATGATTGATATAAATCCTGGAAGAAACAATTCAGAGTTGAAAGTGATAGCCTCAGAGGAGAAGAAACTAGGACAGGGAACAACCAATTTTCAATATCAGCTGAGGCACATTTGTCTTTTTAAACCAGGTACACTAATTTGCAAAGAGAAAAAAATAACTGCAACTTTAAAATACAGAACCAAATTAATGTTCTTAAATACAGGCCTGCCAATGCAGGTTCCACACTTTGATAATCTACAGTGCAATTTTTAGAACCTTCATCATAAAGTATTGAATTATATTTTAGTTAGGGACTTGAAATTCTAAGAGGCCCAATAACTAGCCACAGCCATATCATCTGAGCAGCGAATGTGTTTCTTTCCCTTTTCATCTCTCTGGGCCCATTGTTCTTGATTGCTTTGCAGCAACAACTCTTTCTCTTTTTTTCTTGGAGCTGCAGAACATCTTTATTGCAAGCTATGAAATAATGAACCACAAAAGATGCAGCAACAACTCTTGAAAATGGAAAATTTGGGATAAGCTCACATTCCAATTGCTATCTATAGCCCCCAAAGCATTTAAATTTAGAACCTCTAGAACTATTCCTTCCCCTCTGCCCCAAATCTAGGGACTTCTAGGTTCCTTAGAGCTCAGCCACGCTCAGTACTCTCTAGCTCACTCTTCCCTCTCTATTAGACATAATACTTTGTGTTAAATCTTACTGGTGAGAAGGAGCTTAGGTAATCAGAAAATGCAGAGAAGGAAATAGAGGCAAGAGAAGAACAAGGGAGGGGACAGCAAGATAGAGGAGAAAGAGAAACCAGAGTTCAGAGATAAGCAGCAGTTACCTGGGGTCCTCATTTGGATTTTAGATTTTACTCCAAGGAATTCTGCAAGGAGTTTGGATTCTACTCCAAATGTGTTGAATGACAGTGAAGGGTTTAAACCAAGACAAGGACAGTTTTTATCTGCACTTTAAAAAGGCTATTATTCTGAATTACAGAATATATTGCCAGGACATGTGTGGAAGCCATAAACCCCTAAAGAACTGGCCATGGATGCTCAAGGCTGTTCTCCACAGGCTCGGATGAGCCTCACTCACAAGGGAATCTGCAAAAAAACACAGGTATGTAGGACCATGACTGAAATCTCCAAGCATGCTCGGAGTGGGACTAGGTCTCCTCCCCTCAGCTCCTAAATTTTCCAGTAGCTTGGCAGTCACATCCACAAACCGCCAGCACCATAAAATCTCATCAACATAGGCCTTACCCATGAGTTTAGTTTGGCCTATATC